TAGTTTATGATATATATTTAAAGAAAAAATTTAGTTTTTTGTTCCAGACTCAAATCTGCCGGAGCAGCCGGTTCGCCCGTTTAGGCTCGACAATCGCATCGCCGGACACTGGAGCCGCCATTTTGTAGTAAAAAACTTTTAAAATAATGTTTTTTTGTACCTTAGAAGATAACTAATAATGTACTTCATATTAAATTTTGACCGGTTTAGTATACGCTTGGAAAAAGATTCCTAAAATTGGCCTTTATTTTGTACGTCCAAAGGTGGCCTTACCCCTTAAGTACCAAAATTGCCGAAAGCCTTCGGGTTGCCGCAAATAGTTATTAACATCACCAACACTATATGGAATTCATCACAAAACATCAGTTCTCGGATGGTCACAAAGGTGAAGCAACACTTGACTAGGTACATGGCTTGGATGGATGACCGCTTTTAGAAAAAAAAAATACCATAAAATTAGTTTACTTGAGTAGAGTTATTGCAATCCTCACATTCATTAAAATGAATGTGATCCTCTTAATGCCAGAAGAATCTCCTTTTAATTAAAAAAGCATTCTTTTTTTAATTGAAAGGAGATTCTTGTAGCATTAAGAAGATTGCAATCTTAAATCCAATATTTCATAGTAATTCGATATTCCTCTACTTTTTGGAATATCATCTTGAGACGATGTATGTACACTCGCTCACTAAAAGGTTGCGACACTTTTTTTTTATAGGTTTCTAATTTATATTTAATATACGTAATATATACTTTATAGATAACTAATATTTTGCAAATGCAAACCACGATGTACTATCTTTAGTCCAAAGGCAGTATAACACCAATCGTGGTCCGCATTTGCAAAATATTAATGCGTTTTGAAACCTATAAAAAAGAAAGTGTCGCAACCTTTTAGTGAGCGAGTGTACAAGAGGAAAATCCTCTAGCAGCAAGAAGGTGCCACTAAGAAATAGAACATTTTTTGGGGTGAAATTGGAAGAGATCCGAAACATGTCCAAAGCACGTCTATTTCATGTTCAAATGTTTCCAAAATGCGCGCCCAATAGACGTCAAATGGGCGGTCATTGGTGCATCCATTGAGCATCCTTTAGGCATCCATGAGACATGTTAAGGGCATAAAATGGCCGCCCATTCGAAGAGCTCAGGACGTCCTTCGGACGCCCAACAGGCGTCCATGTGTCGTGTGGGATCCGATGCGCTCTAGGTACTTTTTGTATACATATAAGCTACAGAACTTTTGTACCAATGAATGTTTACGTCAGGTGATAGGTTTTGATAACTATACGACCCGAAAAAAAGCAATTTTTTAATAATTTTTCATTTTTATTACTAATTTATACCTAGCGCACTTACATGTTATGTCTATATTTCAATCCTATAAAAGCGTTTTTGAATCCGTTTAGTTGTTTAGAGTTACCCATTAGAATGCAAATGTCGGTATTCCAGCATCGCCTTAAAACTGTTTTATAAAACTTAAAATTATTTGAAAAGACAATGACATTAAACTTTTGCGGCATTATACTTTTGAATGATTTAAACGGTTTATTAAAAAAATATTTTTGTTTCTATGTCTAATCAAGTACTTGGCAACTTGTATGATCTCATATTATTTGTTTTTGGACAAATTTAATTGTTAAAATAATATTGTTGGTTTAGAAATGACGCACGATACTTCTTTATATACTTGGCTACTATAATTTTTTTTTTTTTTTAAGTTTTTATTAGGGATCTCACTACTTTTTGGTAAACTTTTAAATTTGTAAAATGAAATTTTATAAAAAATATATTTGGTTCTTATTATTTGGTTATTATTAATTCTTAAAAAAATTAAACATACCTGAGTGCCTCATTTATATGTTCTTGTTCTTTCTTGTTGACAAGGCTATAATGGCTGAGTTCCGTAAAGCATATAATGCGCGTGATGTATCATCCTTGTTTTATCCTTGTTGTTTACCAAATGTTAAACAAGGATCAAATGATACATCATGCACATTATGCTTTTACTTATACTTTTATACTTTACGGAACTTGCAGCCAACAATATATACATATAAGAACATGGAAATTGTTCCGTTTGATTTATTAGCGTTAAATAACAATTACCAAGAGATAGATCATCGATATCTTTATCCGATTGTTAAATAATAGATTTTAAACAATTGCAATATAGTTTAATCCAATTTCTAAATTCTAATTAACAATTACTGCACAAACAAATCTCAGATATCATCGTTAATACCCGATTATTAAGTAATATAGACTTTAAACAAATGCAATAATTCAGTCCCCTGTTAAAAAAATCCATATGGATAACCATGTTATGTTAAAAATCCATATGGAAATCCATATGGATAATCATGTCATGTTAAAATCCATATGAAAAATCCATACGGATAACCATGCCATTAAAATCCATATAAAAATCCATATGGATAACTGCATGTACGTTATATTAAAGTTCATATATAGAATATGAAAATCTATATAAAAAATATAAAAAATTTATATATGAGTTACGCATGATTATCTTATATATAATTTTTTCAATTCTTTTGTTTATTATTATTTTTTATTTTCTATTTGTATAATTTATACTGATTTGAATTTTCATGTATAAAAAAATACATGTACCAACCATATATCGACGAATTTAATATATTAATGATATATAAATTATAAATTATTTACATATACAGGGTGTCTCTTAATAAGTGTATCACCGCTCATGAGTAGATAGAATGGACTAAACTGAATCGAAAAGTCCTCTACCATTTTGCAAAATTTGCAATATTTAACGAGATATTAATTTTTAAATATTGCCGAATGAGCGAGTATCCGTTCGGCGAGTCCGGCCCACCGCCAATACTAGCGAGCGACCATCCATGAGC